CCATGGACTGTTCTCCCTGCTGCCCTCTGGGAAGAGGCTTCACAGCATTCAATGCAGGGCCAATAGGTTCCAGAACAATTTCTTCCCCCCTGCCATCAGACTGATGAACTGTTGAAAAATCAAATGTCACAGACTCTGCATCAAACTGATAACACCAAACCAGAATACTGCATATTTGCACCATATATATTAATGCTCTGAACTTCCATTTTAATGACGATAAAAGTTGTCTAAGATGAGTAAAAATAAAAGCTTAAAGCCCAAAGTAACTCAGGATAAAATACATAAATGGATGCCATTGGCTTAAAACCTTTTTTAGCTAATTTTTTTAGCTCTTCCAAAGAGAAACAGTTTCTTGGCAATCTATGACTGTTTTCTTATTTTATGTGAGTTATCCAAGTTTAGTGAATTGTTAAGGGGGGTATTTTATGTGTTGAACCAAGAAAAACTCCTTCAGTTTGTGAATTGAAAGGTAATGTGAGTATCGATCCGAAAGAGTCAAGAGTCCCCTGTTAGTCTCTATTAAAACACAATGCCAGCAGACGCCTTAGAATCACCTGATGGGGTCATATAGAATATAACCTTTGCTGAATGAAATTCCACAAGAAATCCAATCTGTCTTAGTAGGACTCAGAGGATTAGACTTAAAGGTATAGAGACAAATTTTTATTTCCGGGTGGATCGTCTCAATAAGCGGTCCTCCTAATTGTCAATCATTCTGGTGATATGTTTACGTAAGGCCGTCCTACGCGCTCATCCCGTTAGCGATCTATTTCTGTGAATTTCTTTCCCCTTTAAATGAAGGTCACGTCCCAAAGGGGATGACTAGTTTTTGAAAGTAATGTGTGTCATTTGTCATTTTTAGTTGGTAACATAAGGGGAGAAAAAAAATCAATAAATCATATTTGGTAGAAAAAAAAAATGTGATTAGATTTTTGAGCCATATTGCCCACCTGAACACACAGTCATAACCACGGCTTAGAGACCTGGATTTTCTGAACTGCAAACCAAAGTCAGCCATTTTTATCAGGTGTGTTGAAGCAGAAACAGCATCTAAAATATGCAGCAATATAACAACAATTCACTGGACTTTGTTTCCACGTTTCAAGACGTTTCTCTTCTCACCCAGGAAGCTTTTTCAATTCAAAATGTCAGAAATAGCGTTGAGTTCCCTATTTTTATTACTTTAAATTTGTTTAGAATATGATGTGAGACATCTTTCTTAGTTTTACAAAAAGTACATTGTTCAGGTGTGGGAAATAACCCCTCAGCTTCTTTCAGAGTCAAATAACATAATTTTATTATTTTAATAAAATAATAAAATTATTTTATTATTTTATTAGATTTTTCTTAGCCAGATTTTCTCTAATGAAATCTAGATATACGTAGAATTTGGATAGTTGTTTTTTTTACGAAATCAAACCATGTGAAACTAAAACTTTTCCACTTGAGGAGGCTTGAGATTGACAGATGACAATTTTTTTTTTTACTCTTAAATGTAAAATGTTCATATATTTGTCTACAATTTAGTTATAATTACTGCTTTATTTGGTTTTCTCTATCAGCTATATATATATATATATATATAAAATAAACCACTTATAACAATTCAATTAAGCTAAGTAATAACAGTTTTTTCACATTGACATCCTGTTTTAAGATGATGGATAACACAAAGAGATGTTAATTATTAAACCGCTTCATATTTATGCTAATATTTTTAGCAGTTATACATCTCAACATCCTATCTACCAGTTCATAACACAGTGATCACCTGATCAGTGGGAACTGGTGTACAGTTTACATTGGAGTACCTTCGCTGTCATTCTTACATGCCTTTACGCAACATCTGGCAAAGGTCTCTTAATTTGTCCACACCTTTATTTTTGGTACTATGTTGTTCAGCTAATGGATAAGTCAAAGACATTTACTTGCCGGCACAATCCTAAGAAAAGCTGCTGTCTGGACAGCTGTACAACAGGCAGAAAGTGAAAGGAAAGTCCCCAAAAGGTTTAATAAGCAGGCAGCACACTGAGGAACTTCAAATAAATACATAGGGGAAGGGAATAATGAGATAGATGAAGGTTTAACAGAAATAAATAGTGAATTGTCATGGTTTTGGTTCTGTTAAGTTTTCATTGGTCCTATTTCTATTTTTGTGTTCTATTTATTTTTGATTGTATTTGAGTTCTTAAATATTTCCTGTTTGCCCTCTTGTGTCAGTCTCCTTTTCTCCCAGCTCCCTTCTTGCCTCCTCTGTTCCCACCTGCTCCCAATCGGCTAATTGGCCTGGTCTTTGTTATTTTTAGACTTTTGTGGATTTATGTTTTTGGAGTTTTACTTCTGATGAACTTTTTTTTTTGTTAAACCTTCAAGTAACCACCTCAAGTTTTGGGGTCTGCATTTGGGTCCGGTCAAACCTCCACCCCCACCTTGACACAATAATATTTTATCATTTAGAATTAGTTGGTCAATTTTAATTCAAACCTATTGTCCTTTAGTTTGAAATGTTTAAAGTAAAAATAGCATCTGTCATGTTTAATATTCTGTCATATTAAGTTGTATATTCTCATACACTGGAAAAACAATCTAGAAATGAGTAAAAATGTATTAAATAAAATTTATTTAACCTTATTTTGAGTAAGTAAATGAGCTAGTTTGCCAATGGAATGAGTATTTTTACTCTTAAAATAAGATATTTAGATAAAATGCACTTGAAATAAGACCTTGGAACGGTGTTTTCTTATTTTAAATGTAAAATGTCTCTTTTACCTTTTCAGTTCAAGAACAAATGCACTTATTTTAAGAAAAAAAGACTTATCTAGATTTAGATTTTTCCCGTGTACTCACTGGTGTAGGTAGTGATTTTATTAGACCTTTGCAATCTGCTCTTTGTTCATTTGGTATTTTCTCCACCTTTGCCTCTGAGAGTTTGGACAAAACGGTGAAATTGACAGGTCTGTCTGCAGGGGGTTGTTAATGAGACCGGGTCTTTTTGCTGCATTAATTAGATAAAAACAGCTCCTGCTTCTCACTTTTATTCAAAGATAGCTTCCACTACTGTCATTAACAACAGCAGGATCAGTGGCTTCTGGTGATTTTAACACCGACAATAAGTTTTAACGAGTTTGAACAAATGTTCTCCTGTTGTTATTGACCTGATCTATCTTGGCCTGTATCTGGAGCATGTTCCCTAATGGGAAAATTATGGATTCCTGCAGGTTGAGCACTGTTTGTGTCAGCTGGCAGGGTTTGCAGAACTAACACCTTTGTTCACTGCCTTGGCAATTTGTGCAATTTAGTGCAGAAAGCCCTAAAAATAAAAATGCGACGACGTATTTGGACAAAGACATGGCTGAGCAAACGTGGCTACTAAGGTCTGTCAATTTTACAGAAAAAACTCCCTTTCATTCATTGCCCCCCCTTGTCATCTGAAAAAAAGAAGAATCCGATTTGCCCACGACAGCCTTACGACGGCCGACTGAATTTCAAATGTTTGATTTTCTCCTGACCTTATGATTTCTGATGGGGAGGTGGTCGTTTGAGGCTGATCGCCCCTCGTTACCCCCTGTACACTGCACCACGCACCATCAGGCTGATTGAAAAATTCTTGCCCGACTGGAGAATCGCCCAAAAAATCGTACAATGTATACCCAAATTTATATTTCCTGACAAACATTGAAAGCTCAGAGCAAGTTTGCAGTGTTCCATTGAAGTCTTGCTCTCTGTCGCACTCGCTCAGCCTGATACTACGTTCACACCGGACGCGGCAGGCGCAGCAGAAGCAGCGAGTTTACATGCAAAGTCAATGGTTGCGTCAAGGCGCAGCAAAATGTCCCGCGGCGCGTTTCGAGCATCTGACGCGCGTGACGCGCCGCATCAACCAATCAGAGAAGCTGATCTGGGAGCTAGCCGTGAGACAGACACATCGCTGATGATACAGAGCGCTGTGATCGCTCCTCTGAAACAGTTTATTGACGCATAAATTAACTTAAAATGCTGAAAACTGCAGAATATGTTCGCTTTTATTATCCTGCTGCCTGCAGTTTGGATTATTTAGATGAAAAACACCTACCAGCCGCCGCGGTGAACCGCGAGGAGGCGACCCGGCCAGACGCTGCTGTTGAATGGGATTCCTACTGACAGCGCACCGCTGGTATGTGGGGGTCTGAGCGGCTCCGACAGAAATAATCTTGGAAGGCAGGATGGTAATCTGGATGAACTGACTGCACTAATTAAGATTTCAGGTGGATTTTCTCACTTAAAAACATATTAAAACTACTTTATTCCCACTGATCACAGCAAATATAGCTGCAAGACAAAGAAAGGATAGAGTAGCTCCGCCCAACGCGCGTCAGACACACTTTTTACACAGCAAAGCTACTTCAGCCGTACATCAGAACTAACTGGTACAAGCAGCAAAAATGAAGCAGCAGACGCGATTTTGCTGCCCCTGCTGCGTCCGGTGTGAACGTAGCATGAGTCTTTCTAAATAGCTTTCTATACCTTCTGTCCTTCCCTTGACTTCCTCACTGATAATGAGTGTAGCTGATGTTCAGTGATCAGCTACACTCACATACTTGGTTTTGGTTTTAATTGCAGCAACTGAACATCAAAGCCTAAACTGGGATTTGTACTCACAACCCCCACATATGTATTGCTCTACTCAGTGATTAATCAAAGACCTACCTGTCCTTCTCCTCTTTTCCCTGCAGCATCTCTGTGGGTGTAGGTTTCTATGGCAACAGTGAGACCAATGACGGCGTGTACCAGCTGACCTACTCCCTGTACAATGCCAACCACACCCTGGGCGGTGTCGACAGCCTGGTAGGTTCAACAGTGAATGCCTTATAATGAAGCGACACGATGAGGGGGTTGACCCAGAAGAGACCGGTTTCAGGCTGTATTTAGAAAATGTCGTTTCTAGCTACCAAACACACACCTGAGCAAAGGGAAAATCTCAAAGGAACCTAGCTTACTGTGTCTTTTATGGTTCTTTAGTCCTTTCTATGATATTTGTTGTGTTTTTTTGTTTATTATAAATCCAATGTTGACAAATTGACACACTGTAAATACACCAAAAAGCTCCCAAAGTCCCTGTGGTCTCAGCGAAAGACAAAGCACTCCACTCTCCCCCACTCGGCTTGTGTGAACATGATGTTATTTTTACCCTCCCATCACTCAGATGTCTACATGAAGGTTACAGCTATAACATTTCCTAATAATGAAGTGGCAGTTTTTCTGCTTTAGATCAGATTTTGACTTTAATTCTGCCTCAGTACTGTTTCCTATTTGCTCTTTAAAGTTGTAGGGAAGTCATATCTAAATTTCAAATAATTCTGACTTAAACGTGTATATAAATGTACTCTTTATCAGACTCTTTA